ACAATTGCAACAGTTGTCCACCCATTTTAATTCAACTGTTCCTGCAAAGACAATAATAAGCAAGGCCACCGGCTTCAGTTTGATTGATTTCTCGTGTCATATTGTGGCGCTGCTTCAAGGAACAATTCTGGTTTCCTTTCACACGAACACTGAAATGGAAATATTTAAAAAAATCTGCCTGGAAAGACTTTCAGCGATGAACCACATTGGAAAACGTCACGGCTGTTTTGATTCTGCTCGCACAACTTTGTGCTTTCCAAACACAACAGCAGCGATGAGTCCGAGAGGAATATCACAACTCTGTGTTGGGTCAAGAAGGACAAACTGACTTTAAGCAACTGCTTGTTGCTCAAGCGTCCCTTTTGAGATAACGCTATAAGAGTGAACTACACATGCAAAAAAAGATTAATTAATAAAAAATAAAAATTCCTAGATCAAGCCGTGGCTTACCGACTTCAAATAAAAGCATATCAGAAGCATTAGTGCTGATTTTCACACAGATGAAAAATTAATTTGCATACAAAAGTGGAAAAATAAGCAAAAGACCCTGGGCTTTATTTACAGCGTTTACCTGATTTAACTGCCTTCGTTTCCTTTCAGTGCAGTGTGAGTCTCCACTGCATTATGCAAATATATATACTCTCACAGGCCACTTTATTAGGGACATATATTCAACTGAATGTCAATATAAATATCCAATCAGCTAATCACACAGCGATAAATAGTTCATTTAGGTATGTAGACATGGTCAAAACAACCTGCTGAAGTTCAAACTGAGCATCAGGATGAGGAAGAAAGGTCATTTTAGTGACTCTGAGCGTGGCATTATTGGGTTTTCAGGTCTGGGTTTTCAGAAGCTGCTGATGTGCTGGGATTTTCCCCCACACAACCATCTCTAGGGTTTACAGAGAATGGTCTGAAAGAGAGAAAATATCCAGGAAGCGGCAGCTCTCTTTGTGAAACAGCCTCGTTGATGTCAGAGGTCAGAGGGGAATGGCCAGAACATCTATGAATGACAAGATGTAAAACCTTACAGTAAGAGGAAACCATGCTTGGTGCCACTCCTGTCAGCTAAGAGCACGAAACTGAGGCTACAATTCACACAGGCTCACCAAAACAGGAGTAGAAAACTACAGAAGTTGAGAATTTAAATAACTGTTGCCTGGTCTGATGAGTCTCGATTTGTCATTCAGATGATAGAGTCAGAATCTGCTGTAAGCGTCACTAAAGCATCATACCATCCTGCCTTGGTAAAGAAAACAGCCTACCTGTGCGTTGTTTCTGACCATGTCCATCTCTTTATGACCAGGAGGATAACACGCTGTTTCACAAAGCTCCACATCACAGTTCGTTTACTGCATTCAAACAGCCTCAACAGCCACCAGTCTCAATTTAATAGAAGTGGTGCAAACGGAGACTCGTGTCACAGATGTGCCGCCAACAAATCTACAGCAACTGTGTGATGCTGTCATGCCAACATGAACCAAAGTCTCTGAATCCATATTGAATCTGTGCTATGGAGAATTACAGCAGCTCTGAAAGGAAAGGAAAAGGGAAGTGCAACCATGTACTAGCAAAATGTAACTAATAAAGCAGCCAGTAGGTGCATGGCTTATAGTTTCTCTCTGCTGTTACCGTGTGTGTGTGTGTGTTTGTGTGTGATAGAGAGAAGGGGAGGAAAGCAAAGAGCTCAGCAGCAGAGAAGTGACAGGGAGCAGAGCAAATAGCATCAATGGATGTGATGACATCTCTTTTTTCCCGCAGCAACAAGTGTTAATTTGTCTGAACCAGAAGATGCGCGGACACCAGCGAGTTCAAGTGTTTAAGCCTGTCGTCCTGTATTTACTGGGTGATTCAGGTGTAACTCAGCAGCAGAGCAGATCCTGTCCCAGACTTACAGACATCTGGGGTTGATCCAATTTTCTTCTGTTCAGAATAGCACAAAGAAACTAAACAAAGGCTGGAGTGTGGGTGGAGACTGTGAGTTTTATGCAGTCTGGTATTTTTCCACTTTTCTGAGATAAAACAGAAATAAATAAATAGAAATTGATAGTGTAATCTACAATTAAAACAAATCAATCGATAAGATATAATACATTACATTATTAGCATGCATAGCTACATAAGAAAAGTATTCTCATGTGGGTTTCTACTACCAGCCATGAGAGACTGATGCTCTCAGTGTGGGGCAAATGAAAAAGTGACAGTGGGGGTGGCTCAGAAAAACACACAGATGGGTAATCAATGGGTGGAAAATCACTAGGGTGGGGTAGGGTTTATGTATATGTGTGTGTGTTCTAGCATGAAAAACACTTGATGGTAGTGAGAATGCAGCGAGGTCAGGTGGTTTGTGCATGCCGAGGAGCCTGTGTGCAAACCAGAGATAACCTTCAACTTAAATTCTGAGTCTTATCTGGAGCCGTTAGCAGAGGCGACACCCACAGATTCACGATGCTGAACTGTTTCTTCTCTCTGATAATGACTGAGCATCTTGGCGGTTGTTTGGCTTACACAGCGTGCGTGCGGACACGTTTCCGATGTGGAGAGCTGGGAATGTCACACATACTGGAACAAACATGGAGACCACATGAGGGAGAGGGCGCTTCGAGTGAGGCCAACGGTTTATTTACTTTTGCTAATGAAGCTGAAGTGCTGATGCTCACAAGGACAAGAACACTGCAGCTAAGAGCTGTCATCATCTTTTAAGCCATCTTGGGAGAAATGGGTTAAATGGTTTTGGGTTTATTGGTATTTTTTCAGCACGAAGCCTCAAACAGCAAACACAGAAACATAAATTTAAGAAAAACATTCAAATCTGCATGTTTAACACAGAGAATCAGCACCTGTTTGATCAAATGAATGAAAATTCACAATGTTCAAAGTTGCAGCTGACTATTTGCTATAAGCTTCAACTTGTCCAACTTGCTGTAAATTAAGCGAAAGTTTTCCTGCTAAAGAACGACTCATGGATTTGTGAATCTGCTCTCGATGCTGTTACAGTTATGCACCTCCCTCCTTCACCCATGTCACATTTTTAAACAGAAGCAGTTATATAGTGAACACATGATGACACTAATGTCATTCATTAAAGAGCACTTAGAGGAGTCACTCATACAGGCCTCGAGGCTGGTCGACCAGTCGCTCAGACTCGTATGCAAACACTTGCCAACTACTTACTTAAGCAGTAATGAACCTGCAAAAAAAGTGCTGCAAAGTGGAAATTTACACTGGTCACAGTTAAAGTAAAAGTTGGGCTTTTACCACAGTGACAAAAATGCTTCAAAAGGTGCAACTTTTACTTCTGCTAGCAACCAAAGCAACTGCAAGTACGTTTTCAGTCCAGGACTCTGTGTTTGCAACCCAGCAGCAACCTCCAGCAATCAGGAAAATACACGTTTGACCCACCCGGGCGGTTTCTGGGTGGCCAAATATCCAGCCCAGTCTGATCTCAAGAGGACCAGCCCAATCAAAATGATTGCATAATAACACATAATACAAAAACAAAAATGACCTGCAAATTGTTTCCCTTCCTTTTAGTGTAAATGAGCTACAAACCATCCAGTTATAAAATGTGTAGGTAATGACGAGCACCCCGAGATATTTTAAGAAAAGGAAGTGCACTTTCAACAACGCCTCTGAGTTGTTGTAGTAAATGTAAAACACCCGTCAACACGCCTCTTTGGGATTACACTTTAAGAAATGAATGCATAATTATAAAAATCACACAGGCAGCTTATTATCCAGAGTTTTTCCTGCAATTAAAAGACATTTACTGTGAAAGCACAGAAAATGTGCCATCAACTGTCAAAACAGGAACCTTCCTGTTATCTAATGACATACTAACCATAAAAGTTTCTGTCATTTAATGGTTTATATATTACTTAGTAAACTTTAGTGGCCACGCGTCTGAAAATGCAGGCAATTCTCACATTTTCCGACTGGACTCTTTGCCAGGCTATTTCCAGCCCCCAGGCGCTAAATTTGACACCACTGTTAAATTTATATTAAAAATGTAATAACTCATAGATTGGTTAACTGACTGAAAATTACTCTGCAGCCACTTTTTTAATCCATTCGTGTTTTTGGCACGCAACTCTCTTAGTTGCAGCATTTTGTTTTGGAATAAACTAAATCAGCATTTTACAGGCAAAGGGCCAAAAAAGTCTGCATACTCAAATCTGTCAGATTGCTCCTTTAATTCAGCGCCCGCACCACTGCACAGAAACAGAGCCTGAATTAAAGGACCAGTCTCACCAATTATGTGGACACTGTTGCAGATACGTTTGGAGATATCACAGAACAAACACCAGAAAATAATACTAAGTATTAAAAAAAGATTTTGGAGGCTACAACTGCCCATTGAATTCTTTATAAACTTTGTAAGAATTTTTCCTTAGTCGTCATATTTAGAGATGACTATAGCTCAGAGCTCAAAAACACAAATACATTCAATTTAAAAGAAAAGCAACAGATTCTCACAAACAAGAGGCCAGAAAATTATTGATTTAAGCATGCAACTAATTTGTCCAGTAATTCTCTTTGGGCTGACTAATCAATGGGTCTAATTGAACAAGCAATTCCAGTTTGTCGTCTTCGTGAAACATCTGCAAATACATGGATGTCAACGATATTTCTAAGTGTGCAATAATAATAAAACCAGATGTGGATTTGAATGTTTGTGCAGATCCTGCACAGGAGCAGAAATCTGGCTACAGTTTTTCTGTGAAACTCCTCCTGCCACCCAGACCGGCTCAAATGGACTCTGTGGACTATAATCTGATCAACAAATATGTCACTGTGTGAGATTTATGCTGCTGGGATGGTGCCAAACAGCATTGGGCAATACCACCTCGGCCGGGCTCAAACATTGCATAACACGGTGGGTCCAGCATGGCCAGAGAGATCAGCTCAATTGATTTACCGCCCGATCGGGGAGCAGATCCTTTGCTGTGCGCAGAAACGTGCTCACTCACACGTATCCTTCATGCACACCGACCAACCTGCTCTTTCCGTTTCTGCCAGCGGCCGCAGGGGCTCTCCTCCAGGATCTCGCTCTCATCCTCACTCTCCTCCTCCTTTCCCTCCGATCCTGACTTCCTCTCCGGGACGGACATCGTCATTTTAGCGCCGTATATTTCCAGATTTCAACACCAACACTTCTCCGCGTTCCCTCGCTCCTTCACTATCGCCTCTGTGTGTTTTTGTTGTTGTTGTGGGGTAGAGGAGGCGAGCCGCTTGTGTGCGCAGTAAGAACCCCCTCCAACAGCCAGCCAACGTCTCTCCCTCTCTCTCTCTCAACCCTCTTGGCGCTCAAAACATCTTGCAGAAACAAACCGGTGTGTTTGCAATCCTCAGACAGTTAAAAGGAATCCAACACCCTCCTTTGATAAAAAACAAAAAAAACACAAGTGCATGCAATGAGCGTCTGGCCGGACTAAACGGGGTGGAAAATATATCCCCAGACTTCATGCGCCCTATAGGCTGCATATAAAAGAGGTTGCGAAATGCTCTCCTGCCAATCTGTCCATTTACAATCAAGCGAAGCTCGATCGGCGAAGCCAAAGAATTCCCTCTGAGTCCAGTGCACTCATTTCCCACCGCAGACGTCGTCTGCTTTATGGAGGAGACTCAGTTTTGTCGACCATCTCCCACACGCGTCATTGTCGGCGTTGCAGGATCTGAAGCTGTGGGCTCCTGCCAGGCACTGCGCGCAGAGGGATGGAGCAAAATACCGTAAAGTGGCCGCTATGCGCGCACTATATATTCATGTATGCATGGAAACCGGTAGCCGGATGAAAAGCAAACTTCTAGAATCGATATGCACGAAAGTTACTCGAGTCTATGATATTTCAGCCAGTTTGAAGACTGTCGCACTGAGAGGCCCGAGTGAGGTGCATGTGACAGAAGGTGGGCTATTATCGCGTTTCAGCTCCATATTTTACCTTGGACTCTTTTAATAGGTTTCCCCTGACAAAGGCTTAAACAGCAGGTGGGCGGGGTTGTGTGCCTAAGCTCACTATGACATCAAACAGACACAAGAGCAGAAAAAACTATCATAAACTGAGGGTTTAGAGCAGTATCAAGCCTAAGTTTTTAGCACAGAGCTTTGGTACATACGCTGCCTTCATTATCTGAAACTTCTGCAAGATTTAAAATGAGCTTCCAACACGGCAGCTTTTTGTACAGGATATAAATAGAGCAAAGCGGGAGCGGCCCCTTTCAGCATCACTTAATGGTAATGTTGCATTAGGTCATAATTTGCCATGTTTGAAACATGGCATTAAGGTGGCACAGTGGAGCAGTGGCTAGCACCGTTGGGTACAAGAAAGAGGATAGGTTCAAACTGGCGACAGCCTTTGACAGCTGGGGCTGGAGAAACAGTTAACAAAATTATTGGATGGAAGCAACAGTAGCTTCAGACATTGTGAGAATACTGCTGATTGCCCAACACTGAATGTGTCCAGGGCTGGCAAAAACAAAAAAACAAAACTGAAATGTGAGATTCACAGGTAAAAGGAACCAAAAGACAAACCTTTCATTAAAAATCCCCCCCAAAAAAATCCAAGAGTCGAAAAAACAAAACAGAATAAAAAAATAAGACAAACACGCAGTCTGACCAAGATCTTAAGAGAGAACGAACATTAAAACAGGAAGTATCTGACTGAGACAAGACGTTAATACTCAATTTAGAGATACACAAGGAGGGCTGCAATCAAATAAAACACACACGCACACACAAAATAAAATACAAAAAATTAAAAATCAATCAACTCTAAAGCTAGTAAACTGATAATTATAATCCTTAAACAGAACTCAAACTTCCAGAAAGGCAATGAAACTGGAAAATCCCCCAAATATCACAAAAACCCCACGGACACAAAACTATGGCAACAACGCAACCACAATAATTTCTCAGAAAGATCTAAGTACAAAGTATTTGACTAATGTAAGTCAGGGCAGAGTTATTATTCTACATCATGTAATGTTTTTATAACTTAATGCAACATATTCACAATGTTGTTTTGTAGCTTTGCTGTGATTGGGGCCAGTCTTAATTTGAAATGATTGAAACATCATTAAATCGACCCCCAGCTGTATTTTATAGCAGGAGAATCTGTTGTTCACAATCAAACATGCATAATTAAGTCTGAAAATTTAAATGATTTAAATGCCAGTGCATTTCAATCAACATTATCAAATTCTTTGTAAACATTCATATGCTGAAGTTTTCGATGGCAGTGACAGGCAAGCGCTCCCCCAAATGATCTCAGAGAGACAGAAAGAAAAGATTTTGTCTGCTGGTGATTGTTTTGCTTCACTTTTGTTGTCACCGCACATATTTGTAGCTGTTTTCCAAGCAACAGATGTTCTGCTCAGTGGGTCTGTCCAATGACCCATCCACGCAGCTTCCTTCTGATTGGTCGAAAGCCCAATCAGAGTGAGCGAGACTCACTGTGGAAATATTTGAAACATGTTTTTATCATGTGTATCAATTCAACAAACACATTGTTTGTGTGATATGTTGCTTTGTTTTGCCAAGTCCCATTGCGGTTTGAATTTATATATCTTCTTCATGCAGGTTTTGTTTTTGTTTTTTTTAACAGCTTAAACCTAAACCAGCAACCAAAACTAAATTTGGACTCAGCCCCAGACAAATGAAACAAAACCAGAAACCACAGCAGCTCCCGCAGCTTGTTGTGCTTTTATTTCCTAATTTTTAAAAAAAGAGAATGAAGCTTTTGATCTATAAGAAGGAAAGTTTCTGTTTAAAGACTCGGCAAAGTTACAGGCTTTGAACATTTCTCTATTAAATTACAGCCTGAGGCTGAGGTGCTGTTTTCTTCTTATTTGTAATCAAGCAAGGCCTGAATGTTGGGAGTGGACTGTAGTTTTATATGGCAGAAATTAGAAAGCAGAAGGTGCTCTTGGCTAAGCTACAATTAAACCCTCCCACAGGAAGGACGGTGCAGTACAGCAGAGACCACAGAGGGACAGAACCAGCAGGATGATGCATGCAAGACTATTTCGAAACAATGATAATAAATATCAGACTTTCCCATAGAAGAGAAATATGTGAACAATGAATCTGAGGAAAATTACAGGAAACTGGAGAAGAAAATCATTATTTACAGCAATGGGATGATTTTTTTTTTTAAATAAACACAAGTGCTCAAGATCCTGCTCAAGATGATCAAACTCCTTAGCAGTGCACCACAGCTTTAACCCCTATAGGGCCCCCATAACATTCTGATTCCTGGGTAATCTTTGGTCATGCATATCTAGTGAGGAGGCTTGTTCCAGCTACAGAGGGTCAAAGCCGTCTCAAGAGTTGATTGTTCTTTTGTTTACTCTCTGCACAAACGGCTCACACTCAGAGAAAGATTTGTTAAATGAAACTGCATCATATTAACGTGCACGCATAGAAACTGTAGGAGACGATGGTTATTTGATTATTTCCACCTTGGGGGTTTTTTTTAGGATCAAAGAACAGAAAGAAAAGGAAAAGTAGGAGATTTTGAATTTATGCACTGTCGGCATAAACCTCTGAACTCTGGCATGTCCCACTTCAACAGCCAACACAAAGTTTATGCATCGCATCCTACACAAGTGGATAAAGGTCAACATTAAAAGATCTAATAAAACATTCTCTCTTTATTGATCCTTAAAACATATTTAGCCCATTGATCAACCAGTCCCCACCTGCAGGGGCTAAACCATAACAATATCATGGCTTTCCCTGTTAAAGACGCTGTCTGGATGGAAGCATATGAACTATATATAAACTGAGTCAGATGGTCCGTTTCCTCTCCAGTCCAGAAAAGTGAACGATCTGACTACCGAACTCTTTTACACGTTCTCTGAATCCATCATAAACTAACTTTGGCCCAGAGAAGACGGCAGTGTCATGCTTTCTAGGTTTTTCCCAGTAGTCCTAGCTTCTGTGGTCTTGAATCGTTTTTGTTTAAGTTCTTTTATCTCATTGCTTTTTTCCAGCGTTTCCTAGTTTAGTTATTCATGATTCTAGTTCGTAATCTCTTGACTTAATTAGTTCCTTCTTGTGTCCTGTTCATTTTAGTCCAGTGTCTGTGTGGGTCCTTCCTAGCGTCCCCTGTTGTTGTCTGTCATGGCCCAGTGTTTGTTTACCTTTTGTCTGTGTCAAGTTCATGAGTCTTAGAGTCCGACTGTGTTTATGCTTCCTGTTTTACTTTGATGGTCTCTCGCCTCATGCATTATGTTCTGTCAATCAAAGATTTTCACTTCCCGTTTGGATTTTACTCTTCAGCCTAAATAAACTGCTCACCCTCCTGATATTCTGAGTCTTCCTCTTCACGACATGTTTTTCAAACACTGTATTTCTGGAGCATGTTCACACGTAGTTTCTACTTTATATGAAAGAGCTTGAACTTACATTGAACTGGATTCTCAAACAGTGATTTCTTTAAGTGTTCCTGAGCCCATGCATTGATTTCCACGACAGATTCATGCTTGTTTTTAATGTTTTGCCACTCGAGGGCCTGAAGATCTCAGGCATGCATTACTGATTTTTCATCTTGTGCCTTTGCACACAGATTTCTCCAGATTCTCAGGATCCTTTGATAATGAGATAATGAGATAATGAGATCTTTAAAGGTTTCACAATCTTATGCTGAGGAACATATTTCTGAAATTGTTCTGTTATTTATAAAGATGTAGTGTTTTCAGATTAATCAATCTTTGCCTCTCTAAGATGACCCTTTTAAACCATCATGTTACTAATCTGTTTCCAATTAGCAGCTTCTATTTTTCTAGCTTTTCATTGCCCCTGTTTCAAATTTTGAAATGTTTTGCTGTCATCAAATTCAAAATCAAAATTTTCTCTGATGAAACAATAAAATGTTTGATATGTTTTGTATATTCTATTGTAAATGCAGGTTTATGACATTTGCAAATCATTGTATTCTGTTTTTATTACGCAGCATCCAAACCTTTTTGCAATTAGGGCTGCATTTCTACAGTTGTATGCAACCCCAGTTCTTTTAAGCTATGAATTCATTAATTTTAAATGACATCCATGCCCTTTTAACACCACTGACAGTATGAAAACTCACACAATAGGAAATGCCAAACACACAGCAGGACGAATTGAAGCTGACAGCACTCCTCTTTCAAATTAAAATCACCACATCCCTCAAAACTAAACCTGTAACAGTGCTGCTGTGCAGTTTTACGTCCTTTGAGCCAAATCCAGAAAGAATACGGTACTCAGTCTGTGTTTCTATGTATGGAGCTGAGCTGCTTATTACCTCATGGGAACATTTTTTAGTATAAACCTAGTTTGCCATCTAGTGGTCCTGATTTGAATCACAGAGACACTGTCTGTGCAGGAGTTAAATTTTCACAGTTAAGTCTGCATCACTTCTTAGTGTTTGCATTTAATGAGGAAAATAAATATCAAATGTTTGCTTCATTGCCTGCATACTCAAGTTTTTGGACGGGATCAGTCCTGTAGATTTGCATCACCACTTACCAGTTCATGTGTAATCACAGATTTGTGGAGTATAATCACCCTCTTTCTCTATTTTTAGCTGCCGAGCCTGTGAGCGAGCCCCCGTTCCGCCAGTCCCTCTCACTCTTAATGAGATTTACTCTTGGCACATGGAGCAGCGTAGAGCAGACAATGGAGATGTCTAGACCAACCACATCTAGGACACAAAATGGTCTTTCATA